ATCAGGCATTTAACGCATATAACTTTTTTTTCAGACTCGGATATTGAGTAAAATACTGATAACTTTCTAGAATGAAATCCTTATTTCAGTACTTTGTATTAAAGATGAATAGAGACTCCCAATGCATGTTTGTTTAAATATGATTTCAGAATGCCAAGTATTAGGCAGTTTGATTTAAAAGTCTCAATGATTCGTTTTCTAGAAGTTCTTACTGTAATTTTTTACTCAGTGAAAGATATAATTTAAAACCCTTTATTACACACTTAGTAATAAATACAGGTTTTTTGCATATGCGATATGGCTGACGTCACAATAGCCGTATCAACCCTGTAGGGCTGATATGGATTTGCAGGGCTGATATCAGCCCTGCAAATCCATATCAGCCCTGCAGGGCTGATACGGCTATTGTGACGTCAATATCACACCCTTAGTAAATTAAACCACAATAACAGTACTTGTGATCATACACAATTTTTGGTGGGTTCATATTCTCTTAATTTTAACTTTTTGAAAATAAGGTTAATCTTAATTTACAAATACATGTAATACTATAGAATATTTTCAAATTACGGATCAAGTGCATTGAAATAGAAGTAGAGACGAACCCAAATCGTATGAGACATTAGACTATGTACATGTATGTAAGAAGTCCATGTATGATTATTTACTTATTTTCTTCTCAACTAAATGTGTTCTGTATTTTATTACTAAGTATGTAATAAATATAATAAAACATACCCTTTTCCACATCACATCCTGTATCAGCCCTCGACCAATATCAGCCCTCGGGCCTTCGGCCCTCTGGCTGATATTGGTGTCTCGGGCTGATACAGGATGTGATATGGAAAAGGGTATGTATTATTCTCTATTTATTACACATTTAGTAATAAATACATGTTTTTTGCATATGCGATATGGCTGACGTCACAATAGCCGTATCAGCCCTGAAGGGCTGATATGGATTTGCAGGGCTGATAACCTATATCAGCCCCACAAATCCATATCAGCCTTGCAGGGCTGATACGGCTATTGTGACGTCAATATCACACTCTAAGTATAAATTAAACCACAAAAAACAGCACTTGTGATCATACACAATTTTTTATTCTCTTAATTTTAACTTTTTGAAAATAAGGTTAATCTTAATTTACAAATACAGGTAATAGATTAATGTCAAATTACGGATCTAGTGCATTGAAATAGAAGTAGAAACAAACCCAAATCGTATGAGACAATAGACCATGTACATGTATGTAAGAAGTCCATGCATGGTTATTTACTTATTTTCTTCTCATCTTAATGTATGCTGTATTTTATTACTAAGTATGTAATAAACATATTAATACATACCCTTTTCCACATCACATCACACTGATATTGGTGTCTCGGGCTGATACAGGATGTGATGTGGAAAAGGGTATGTATTATTCTCTATTTATTGAGGCTATATCATTCGCATTTTGTATGATGTACATGTACATGTATTTGTTTTTCATTTATATTCTCATATTGATGTATCAGCCACGTAGCATCGTTTTTGAAAGTGGGGGCCAGCCAAGAGAAAAAAATGACCAAACTCGAAAATCCTATTTCGGTGGGGTGGGGTGGTGGGGTAGATGCCATCTTTTTTAATGCCAACTTCTTTCGGTACCAATTTTCCTGCTACTGTACTACATTTTCCTTGATATTAACTTTGTGTACTATAAAGTGGGGGGGGGGGACCAGCCTTTCAATGAACAATTTTAATAGTAAAAGTAATGTTGGCAAAAAAAAGTGGGGGGAGCCCCCCCTCCCCCCATTGCTACACGTGCCTGTGTATTAATTTTCCCAAATTTAATTTCTTCTCTGTTTTTTTGTTTTTGTTTATTTTGTTTTTGTATATGTTTCGAGATTTTTTAAAGAGTTTTTTAAGGTACAAAGGCTTATACCTTTCTGTAATTTTGAAATAATTTCATGCCACATGAAAGGTGTTAGACTAGTATCATAAAAGCATGTCTGTAATCTTGACGTGCGTTTGATTGTAAAACTTTCCTGCACTTCTTTCCAAAAAAAAATTCAATATTTTTGCGAATAAAGAAAATATGTATTATTTAATGTAATTGTGTATACAGGAAAAACAAAGAGATAGTTTTAATAACGCCATAAAATGATATTTATGGGGTCTCAATCGATTTCGGCCAAAGTGACTTCACGTACATCAGCTTTTTGTCAAGTGACATGGTTAAAATAAGAGAAGATATGTACGACACAAAGATATCGTAAAAGTTCAACAATACGGATAATTTTTCACTATGATATTGATTATGTTTTCTTTAGTGACTTTCCTTAACAATATACAATTTTTTCAAAGACTATGTCATTAAACAAACACTACTTTCAAGATGTTTACTCACAAAAAATTCAGGTACCTTACCAGGTATTGGTGCGAGATATACCAGATGATGGCATTTCTTATATAATCCTTTGGGGGGAAAATAGTTTTCCAAAATCACGTTTTTGCAAATGTAGACAATTTCTATGCATTAGAAATAGGTGTTTACCTTTTTATGATGGTTTAGCCCCCCACTTTCAATTAGCCCCCCCCCCTTCAATTTGCTTCCGACGCCCATGAACCTAGCTGCGCTTCTCATGTACCTTCATTCTCTTCATTTTCTTTTATGATAGTATTTCTAATATATAAGTTTCCTTAGTATTCACAATTCAAAAGAATCTTACGAGTAGCAAGTATTCAGGAACTTCCAGCATCAGAATTATGCATTTGATCCAGTTTCTACATAATTTTCATAATACTGTTTACAAAAGTGTGCCTTTTTTAATGTTTACATATACCTCTGTCTATTAATGTCTCACATCTTAAAAAATATGGCGACTTATCTATTTATTGCAATAATTGGAAAATTTAAACAATATTCAATGAAAATAAATGCAGTTTTTGTACCTTGAACCATTAGAATTGTGAGGGTGGAGAGACTTTGAAGTTTTAAGAAAATAAATGAATGTGAGTGATTAAGTAAATTTTTCAACTACATGTAATGATTAAGAGCCCAAACTGCAACCCCCCCACCCCCCAAAAAAAATATGGATTTGAATCATACGAAACGGGTTTCTTAGCTCACTTGAGCTGAAGTGAGCTTTTCTGATCACCCGTTGTCCATCGTCCGTTCGTTCGTAAACTTTTCACATTTTCAGCTTCTTATCAAGAACCACTGGGTAAATTTGAAAAAAAAAAGAATCTTGGTACAAAGCATACTTAGGAGATGGGAAGATTAAATTGTTAAAATGAAGGGCAAAGTCCCAGGGGAGATAATCAAGAAAAAGACAAATATAGGGTGAGGCCATTACAAAATCTTCTCAAGAAACACTGAGCTAGGAAAGTTGAAACTTATGTGGAAGCATCCTGGGGTTGAAGAATATAAATTGTTCAAAACATGACCCCAGGATAGGGCAGGGCCACAATAGGAAATCCCAGTTTTAGATAGAAACACAAGTGTTTCATACTAGGTGACGCTGAAGGTCGTTGTAATTAAATTTTAACAAGTTAAGCAGGTGAAAGTCATTACATAAGATATTTTTTTAACGAACTAGAAACTTAAAATGTAAAGACATTAAAACAATTGTGTGCATGCCTCTTTAAATATACAATGTATTTGAATCTCTTATTTTAGGTGACCTGAATACAAAGTGTATCTGTCTAGAGGCTGTATATTTTTCTTCTCAGTATTACTTTTTGTTCTTAATATTTCATCTGAAGATAATTTATTGAAACGAATTGTAAAGTATTTTACATGTATTGAAACAAATACCATAGTATCTGGAAACCGAAGATGAACTGTTTTACAATATATTATAGTATGAACTTTATTTATTGTATTTTATTTTTAAGCACCCGGATCGACAGGTCGGGGCGCATATTGTTTTTGTCCTTTCTGTGTCTGCAAACTTTATCCTTCGCCATAACTTTTGAATCATGAAAGATAGAGACTTGGTATTATGTATGTATACTCCACCAATTAAGTTCTTTCAAATGACACCAAGGTAAATGACTTTGTGACCTTGACCTGTATGCTAAAAATAGCTTTTTGAACCTTCGGCATAACTTTTGAACCGTGAGAGATAGAGACTTCATATTTCGTATGCATACCTCACAACTTAAGTTATTTAAAAAGACATCATGGACAATTGCTTTGACTGTGACCTATATGCTTTAATTGATTTTTTCGTACCTTTGTCATAACTTTTAAGCTATAGGAGATAGAGACTTCATATTTAGTATGCTCACTCCAATAATCAAATTTTTTCAAATGACACCATGGCCAATGACCTTGTTACCTTGACTGTGACCTACATGCTAAAAATAGCTTTTTTCGAACTCTTGCTACCGGGCGCATAGTGTTTCACAAAAAAAATCTTGTTGAAAGGTGTGTTTATTGTATGCTTTAATTCATTTGTTCTGTTAACAATTTTCTTTCTTTGAAATATATGATTATAAAAAAAAAATCACTTTTGTCCTTATCTTTAAATTTTACCACATGTATCACTGTTACAGACTTTCTGTACAGGTATAGCACACATATTTACTATATAATTCTATAACACTGAATATGTAATAATAAAATATCGTTAAAAAGGTATTTGAATTCCTGAAAAATATTTTAGCAGGAGGTCTTAAACATTACCTGTCACATTAGCCGACCCCCCCCCCCCGAAAGAGAATTCTAGTCAACTCGGCACCTGGTAAACTCGGCATCTGGTGAACTCGGAACCAAGTAAAGTGAATTCGGCACCAGGTATATTCGGCACCTAGTAAACTCGGCACCTGGTATACTCGGCATCTAGTTAATTCGGCACCTATTTTATACAACTTACTTTTCACCTATTTATTATATTTTTTATTGCCAATTAATTCAATTTTTCTAACATAAGGGGTTAATTAATTGAGGATTTTCGATTATTACACACTGTTTTTTTTTTATCAACATTCTTTGAACATTCTCCATAAATGTAAATAAGTAACAATTGAAATACTCGAAAGGGATCTAGAAAAATTAGTATGATAAAAGGAAATATTTTTAATATCATGGATCTACGTATCTGTTTTCTATATAAAAAATATATTTGCGTTGCCAGTGAGTTTTGTATGGAGTTTTTGAGCTAAAAATGATAATACGAAATTGAATATAGATATACATGAAATACGATGTGCTTTACATACGTTCAAATTAAAATGTTGAAAAATTGTGTAACCTGTATCTTTATATAAAGAATTGAAACAACAAGAAGGATCTTATAAATGTTAGTTAATCTGAGAAAAACGCCATATATATAATAGTACGTGGTTACAAACGGCGCTTGTTCTTGGTTCTGATTAGCAAACTTATTTATTTCTCAGACATTATTACCCATGTTTAATTATCTGTTGCCCGGTGAAATTGACCTGAAGATTACACGTAACTATAACTAGTATTTTGGTATGATATTTAATATTAATGATATGTGGAAAAAAATATGAATGTGCATCTATCAGCATCTAAATCTTTATTCATTAAACATAGCAATAACATTACGCCAGTCATACGTCTGTAAAAATGCGTGATTCACATTGATTTACTGGGTTGGAGGTCCATAGATGGAGGCACATTCTTGGAGAAGCTGGCTAGCATTTATCCCCCTTTCACAGTATTGCTGCCACAGATCAAAAATTCGTCCCTCCACTTGACGGGTCCTCTTTCTTTGATACCGCTGTATCTTCCCCTCCGACACCATCTTCATCTGTAATGTGATGTCCATCGCCTCTCTGTAAAGGACTAAAATAAGATGGTAGAAGGGCACGGGTCCCCTGGTGGCCACACTTGTATTTAATCTGTTGTGCCACCCCTCTACATCATTGTTGGTGCGGATGGCCGTCATGAAAACACTCCAGTGATGGATTTCATAGATTGGACTACGAATCCATGTTCTGTATACGTAGTCCATTACAGGAGCTAAGACCTCTGGAGCACGGCCATCCAGACGGTGGAAAGCATCCTCGATATGTTCCGGTGGGAGGAATGGCAAGGCGAGTAGCTGGCGGACGAACCTGAAGACTTTGTCCTTTTTGTTGTACGCTGTCATTTTTTTTTTTAATTATGATTTTTTTTTAAATACATACTGTTGATCTGTCTTGTGTATTGTCCATCGAAGCCAAAGACACATGGAATGTGGCGTCAGCGGGAGGCTCATATTCCGTACTGTCGTCTTGCTCCGCAGCTTCCGCTGCAGGCATTGCAGGACGTACAGGTGGAGATGCCGGTGTTGCGGGACGTGCAGGTAGAGATGCCGGTGTTGCGGGACGTGCATGTGGAGATGCCGGTGTTGCGGGACGTGCAGGTGGAGATGCCGGTGTTGCGGGACGTGCAGGTGGAGGTGCCGGTGTTGCGGGACGTGCAGGTGGAGATGCCGGTGTTGCGGGACGTGCAGGTGGAGATGCCGGTGATGCGGGATGTGCAGGTGGAGATGCCGGTGTTGCGGGACGTGCAGGTGGAGATGCCGGTGATGCGGGATGTGCAGGTGCAGGTACCGGTGTTGCGGGCTGCGGAAGAAGTGGAAGAGCAGGCTCTGTATTTTCACACTTAGAACACGTCCATTCTAACTCTTGCTTGCCTTTTACCTGATTTCTGTACTGTGGTCTACTAATTCCTTAAAAAAATAATAATTTTAGTGAAAAATCATAAAAACAAAATACTTGTCTTCAATTTAATTTTATTTCTGCAATTATTTGACACATTTGATATTTAAGAATTAATTGAATAATTATTTTCTAACCAGTGTTGCATGTCCTGTGTTGCCACTTCTGACATTGGTCACACTGAACAGCTTCCTGTCGAGGGCGAAAAATTTGGTTGCATTGATAGCATTTGTCTGTAAAAATATATAAAGTATAAAAAATAATGCTGATCCTTTTGTACGAATTTCCTATAATTGATGTCTCAAAAAATTCGAAACACGAACAAAAAATGATACCAGGGTATTTACAACATTATTTTTCCAATATATAGGATTATATTTATTAAGAAATATCATATTCTCTGGAATCTCACACAAGTGCCCGGTAAGCTACCTGACTTTTTGAGTGAAGGTTAAAATAGCAATTTTTCAATAACAAAATTTTGGCAAATTAATGTACTAATATTGAGGAACATACAATGTATCGTCTATGCTTAAGCCCGTATACGTGCATTAGGGTTATTTTCCGAGATTTTTTGGTTTTGACAAAAAAAATGAACATTCAATTTGATTTATATTTGACTTTTTGACAGATCATCATGTTCCATATATTCATCAGTTAGCCAATATGAAAAGAATTGACATAATGGTTATAATTTCACTTCTCTAAAAAATTTTCTCAAAGCAGCAGGCATGGTAGGAATCTACATGAGGTCGTGTAATTAGGGTTTTAAACTCATGTTTAATAACCAGATGTATTTTATTACCGAGTGTAGAACATTATAATTAGATGATGAATTATTTTACGCCTATATGATATAAATATAATGATAACCAAAAAATGTAAAATACATTTTAAGTTTTTGTGGGGAGTGGTCGCTACGGAAATAAATAAATGTTGAGTAGGGGCTCGTTAAATAGTTTAACAAATTATAGTAAAATAAGACTGCAGCGAGAAAATTTTAACTCCCCAGTAAAAAGATAATTCTCAATATAGCGAGACTAAGAGAAATATAAAAAATAAAAATACGAGATTATGTTTAGATTTCCATGATATTAACTAATTATTAAATAATATTTTTCATCGTTTTGAAACTTAAATACCCCCACGTTTCTAAGATAATGTGATGTGTCTGAGATTTAATGCCGATTCGGAAAAAGAATTGGTTGTTTTAGAATAAATCTATGAAACGCGATTGATTTAAATAGTGTAATTTAAAGGAAAGTCCTGTTTTTACAAAGTAACAAAACATAGAAAGATCTTTTTAATTTTTGTTTGTTTCTATTTATCAAAAATACGCCATATACGACTTTAGTAATTCAATATACCTTTCAGTTCGTATTAAAATTCGAAATTCTTCATTGACAAAGGACTTTATACAAAAAGAAATAAAGTTTTAAGGACCAAAACTTCCACATACGAACTTTCAAAATCATTTGTTACAGGGCGAAACTCTCTCTCTCTCTCTTGTAAATAGCGATATTAGACTGTTTAATTTAAAAATGCGACCCAAATAAATGTGGAATTTTTCAACATACCTTTCATTGCTGGTTTTCTTTGGGTGATGCAGAACAAGTGACATATTGACGTCTGCCTGGAATCCTTCACTATATACCCTCCTCATTTTTTGACAACTCACACTAATCGCCTTGTAATATTATTTTAATGAAAATCCCAGAAATTAAATGTGTAGATATAAGTGTTTATGATTTTTATCCAGTTTTATTTCAAAACATTTTTTTAAAAACGCATCGTTAAAAATGCCATTAATTAATTCTAAAAAGAAAATAAGTATATGAAATGTCACCAAAACATATTAACAAAAAAAAACCGAACAATAAAAGGAATATTAAAACCGAATTCCTTTAGTTTTAAACAAGTGTCTGTAAATGAGAAAAGTCAAATACGTGTAGTGATGTACATGGATTTCAATAAAATAACCGTTTTTTCTCTTTAAAGGCAAATTTATAAATCAACAAAGTAGTCACAAGAAAAATATTAAGAAAAAATGAATTAATAACACATCTGTCGATTTGTTTAAGAAAGGTGCCGAATTAACCAGAATCTGATGCCGAATTTACCAGATTCTGGTGCCGAGTTCACTAGGTGCCGAGTTCACTAGATGCCGAATTCACTTTTTCTTTGAGTGCCGAATTCACCAGGTGCCGAATTTACTTGTACCCCGTACACGGCGTTTTTTCTGATTTTTTTCCATCTGCAAACAGGGCTACCCTCAAACCCACTTGTTTTCAATTTGTTTATAAACATCTCAAGTGCACCTCAGGAAGTAGTCTCCTATACCCTGAAAAAATAGTCCCTGCTATAAAAGCATTTATTTAATTACAAAGAACATAAACTTTACTAGGCACAGGTACCGAGGTTGTAAAAGTTGCCTGCAAGGTTATTTCTTAAACATATCAAAAGAAAGGAAAATCAATTTTATATGTTAATAACTATATTTTTTTATCATTATGATTGTTCATTTACCGGTGTGACATCTGGAAGGACCTTCGATTTTTTTTTTATTTCAGGTGCACAAAGTTGCATTATACCCCCCAAAGAATGACATAATTTACAGAAATGGTAAAATACTTGGTTGATAATAAAATCTGCATCTGATCAGTTATATTTGTATACAAGCTGCTGTGCAGAAGTTTATAGAAATTATGTGTTTAACACAGGGCAGTCAAAATGATATCAGCATCTAGGGAGGTTGTGGACAGCTCCTTACTCCATTAAAACTGGCTTTGATGATTAGTCATGAGGCCCATGGCTCTTAAATGTTACCTGAGTATAATGTAACAACTTTACAACAATTTAATAATTTCCTTCGTGTTTTAAACCAGGGTCACCAACGAAACATGGCTGAAAAATTACAGACTCGGCGTTACACAATATACAATCAATCAATCACAAACCAGAGGCCATAGCATTCATTGCTCGTCATAACTCTACATTAAGTACATTTAGTTTTGTTACCTAATACCAATAGACAGAGTAGGGGTTAAAGTTGGATTTATGATTAAAAAAATCGATGTTATTTTAATTCAGAAATCGCATTTTGTTGAAAAAAAAATGTTTTTTTCGATATGATTGTGCTTGGAATGGAATGTCTATACATTGTTTCTCCGACTCTTCTTTTAGCAGAGGTGTGTCTATTATATTAATACAAGAGGCCCATGGGCCTTATAGGTCACCTGAGCATGATGCAACAACTTTCAAATGATTGAATTTGGTTCACGTTTTAAGCTAGATGCTATGGCATTCACAATTTTGAAAAAGGCACCATTGCTAATCATAACTACACACTTAACAATTGCTTAGGTTGGTTACAAAGATTTAATGTATTTTCACTATATAATTAATCAATAGAGCCCCACCCTAACACCAGACCTCCTGATTCTGGGGCCACAAAATTCACAATTTTGGTAGAGGCACTCTTGCTCATCATAACTATGTACTAAGTTAGTTTATTTAATACCCAGAAGCAGAGAAGATTTTCAAAGAATAATGTATTTTCAGTATATAATCAATAGAGCCCCGCCCTAACTCTTGAACCCCTGAGCCTGGGGCCATAAAATTAACAATTTTGGAAGAAGCACTCTTGCTCAATATTACTATGCGCTCTTGCTCAACATTACTATGTACTTAGTTAGTTTATTTAATACCTAGAAGCAGAGAAGATTTTCAAAGAATTAATGCATTTTCACTATATAATCAATAGAGCCCCGCCCTAACACTAGAATCCCTGAGCCTGGGGCCATAAAATTCACAATTTTGGAAGAGGCACTCTTGCTTAACATAACTATGTACTTTGTTAATTTATTTAATACCCAGGAGCAGAGCTGAAGATTTTCAAAGAATTAATGCATTTTCACTATTTGATCATTAGAGCCCCGCCCTAACACCGGAACCCCTGATCGTGGGGCCATAAAATGCACAATTTTGGAAGTGGCACTCTTGCTCAACATAACTATGTACTAAGTTAGTTTACTTAATACCCAAGAGCAGAGAAAAAGATTTTCAAAGAAATAATGCATTTTCACTATATAATCTATATAGCCCCGCCCTAGCACAAGAACCCCTCACCCTGGGGTCCATGAATTTCACAATTTTGGTAGAGGACTTAACACTTATTACATTCATTCCAACAGTTTGCCTGCTTGATGTCCAGGAGTAAAGAAGAAGATTTTTAAAGTTTGCAATAATTTTGGTGGTTTAGGCCCCACTCCTCAGGCCCCAGGGGGGCGGGGACCATAAAATTCACAACTTTTGTTTCCCTTCACCCATAGATGCTGTATACCAAATTTGGTTGAAATTAATTCAGTGGTTTCAAAGAAGAAGCTGAAAATGTTCAAATGTTTACACATGACGCACGACGACGGACGAAAACGGATAGCAATAGGTC